AGAATCATAGAATCATCTTGTAGTGAGGGGCCCAAAACTGAACACAGTATTCGAGGTGCGGCCTCACCAGTGCCGAGTACAGGGGCACGATCACTTCCCTGCTCCTGCTGGCCACACTATTTCTGATACAGGCCAGGATGCCATTGGCCTGTATCACCTTTGCCCTCCGAGAAGTCACAAGCAGCTCTCAGACCGCTCTCAGCCTACCCATGGCCAGACCCAATAAACTCAGCTCCATCCACCTCCCATTGTAGGGTTGCTGCCAGTTTGTCAGCCTCTATGGGTCCTCACTGGTATCGCCACATCCCTCACACCAGGCAGACCAAAACTGACCTAGCATCCAGATGTGGCCTCCCTTGCACCAAACAGTGGGGGTGATAACTAACTGAGACCAGGCAGCCACGTCTCTGCTCCTGTAGCCCAGACTGCGGTTCTCCACCTTTGCAGTGAGAGCACATTGTTGGCTCATGTTCAGTTTGGCATCCGCCACCCCTTCCAGGTCCTTTCCAGTAAGGCTGCCATGCCACAGCTCCTAATCAGAGCATTATCGTGCCCTGCCCTCATCCAGGGCTGCCTGCCACCGGCACATACTTCAGGCAGGTGTTTGGCCCCAAAGCAGAAACATGTCATACATCCAAGAGTTCTCACCAAAGTTATGCAGCCCTTTCTTGCAGCGCTCTTGCTTTCTTTGCAAGCAGTCCACATGGCATGTTCACCAGTGAGCACATAGCTTCTTCCATTGCAATGTACTGTTCTTCTTTAGGTGCTTTCACTACCCATCATGCTCCAGTTTAATAATCATATTTTCTATAAAATTACTGCCAAAGATTCTGTCTTAATTCTTGATATTTCTCTTTCGGCCTCAGATCTTTGACTGTCTTAATACTCTTCTATGACTACCTTCCCACCTGCTTTTACCAGGCCACAGCTTCGCAAGAAAATGAACGTTTAAGAAATTCTACTGAACTCTCTTGCAAATTAAGCTGGAAGTGAGAATCCAGATAACCATCCAGTACAATAAACCATTCCCAAGCACATTTAACATACAGACCATTTGGTTGTAGGCCAAACGTTTATGTGGTTTGAGAAATCTCCTTTTCATGAATAAACAAGTAAATTGTAGTGACAAACCACTGCCCAGCCCACTGGCAGATGTACAACCGTGCAGTCCAGGAGGTCTTTTAAAAGACAGCAGCTACAACTGAATTCCATTCAGGACCTCCCATGACCCTGAGCTGAATGCAAAGCCAGAGATGCCCCAAGCCCTAGGACCACAGTGGACTTCAGCTTTGACACATCTTTGTCCTAGGCACCCAAAGAGATGCCCAAAGAGAATGGCCAGCTCTGAACTGCTGCCTGAGCCATCAGCATGGTGCATGGAGAGAAGGGGTATCGGAGAGGATCCACAGCAGGCGGGGTGCAGAGCAAGGTGCCAACTGGTACTCTCCGCAGGAGGTACTGAGGAGGGGGACATAACCTCCTGACGCTTCTTCCCGGGGCAACAGTGCCAAGAAGAGAAAACCTCCCACCAAATCAGAATTCACAGCTCTAAACTCTTACATGTTGAAGGGTCAGTTATATGGTCAATCTTTTTTTAAAAAAAATGAGGAAGCCCCAGACTGAACACCTGTTCTCCTCCACGACTGCCCCACAACTCACATGGCAAGGGGAGACGGGGCTCCAACCTCTCTCGAAGGAGTGCCTGTTAAATTTAGCCTTGAGGTCAACTTGGAGCTCCCATTGAAGATTGGTGAGTATCAACACCCTCAGCAGGTAAGCCCTGTCCCTTAGGTGCAAAGAGCTCCACATAAGGCATTTTACATCAATCTGCTGCTAAACACTTATGCCAAAGTGTCAGGTTGTGGTGTCCCCCATACCACAGTGATCCTATCAGCAGTCCTCTGGAACTTCTCTCACCTACGCAGCTAGGTAAGGATAGTAATCCAAATACTTGGATTACCCTGTCGCCCACTCTCAAGGCTGGCAGGATGGGAACTTTTTTTCCTGAATTGTGGCTACCGGATAAACTGCTGGCAGTGCATTAAAGATGAGAGGGGCAGCTCTGCAACGACGACAACAACAGGCAGGGCGAAAATCCTTCAGCTCCTACCTGTGGGCTCCAAGAAGCATTATCAGGCCAATGAAGATGTCCTTAGAAACTGCTGGTTGTCACCTCCTGGTGGATGTCTTCTGTAACTATTGTCCAGAAATTTCATCTTTCCCCAGGCAGAGGTGGTGCACACATGCCACCACCCCTCAGCACTATCTACTCCAGTCTCAGCATCTCAGGATCCCACTTTCCTAACATCAAGCCATAGCTTCTTGCAAAATACAAGCTACTGCCACGCATGCTTACACAAAAACTCCAGGTGTTGGAGACAGCCCATTGACACTTTCTGGAAGCTGTCAC